GCCACAAAGGGCCTCAGGAAAGGTTCCCAGAACAAACACTACAAAAACTGAGGTCAACCACAGGAGAAAGTCTTCCTTGAAGAAGCTGAAGAGACAGCTGCAGAGAGCAAACAGGCAAACGCTATTGTTCTGGCGAGACCCACAATCGATAGGGCGCAGCTTATATAAATCTCAGATCAGACTCAATCAAGAGACTGAATGAAAAGAACTTCCTGCCTGTCAAGCGAGGCTACGTCTAAAGGAAGAATGCGAATGTCTAAGTAACACTAGAATGGATACAAGAAAAATAGTCTTTTATTGTTCTAATTACTTTTTAAACAGAAAATCATTTTCCAGTCAGGTGGTAATTGTGAACACATGCAGCTATCACCCTTGCACTGAAGTGCTCTCTACCAGAACACAATTTTCCCGCTGAAAAGCCTTTATCTACATTATGAAAAATGACTTTATAACTAACTTTTCAACTCATAATCTGGTACTTTATTTAAACAAACTGAAGGAGTACTTTCCAATTGGTGCACACGATAATGTCTTATCAGCCTTCTCTCACGTGTGTACACGCAATAGCTACAGTTAGTCTTCCAGCCAAATGCCCTGTTTTAACAGAAATTCAAAGGCATTCCTCTTTCCTCTTTATTTTATGTGGATGTATGAACACACACCAAGGCACACGGGTGCCTGTGGAGGTCGGAAGACGTCCCCTACAACTGGAGTTGCAGATGGCTGCTTGTGGGTTCTGGGAACCAAATTCTGGTCCTCCTCAAGGGCAGTCAAGAGCTCTTAACCATTGAGCCATCTCTCCAGTCCCAGCTCTTGCTTACTTTTCAGATTTTTACAAGGGAAGTCTTAAGTAAACCACATAAGGATCAGTAAAATCACTTCTATTTCAATAAAACAGAGCCTAGTGTGGTGGCTTCTGCCTGTTCTGGAATCTCCCTGCCGAGAAGACTGTCACAAGCTCAAGGCCGGTTTGGGCTAAAGTGTGAGAGACCCTGTCCAAAAAAACCATAAAATATGTGAATAAGTTTAATGCCAAGCCAGTGATTCTTATTTGATTTTTAATAGTTGTTCTGTTTTCATGAGTGTGTTTGCCTGCATGTATGCATGTGTAGCATGCGCATGCCTGGTGCTCTCAGCAGTCACAAGAGGACATCATTTCACTTGAGAATAAGAAAATGGGCAACTCAGAATCTCAAAAAGCACTTCTTAAAAGACTTGTTTATTATTGCTGTATGAGTGTGTATCTGTGCACAGTGGGGTGATGAGTGTGTAACAGCACCCAAGCGGAGGACAGAGGACAACTCTGTAGAGTTTCTTCTCTCCTTCAAACTTTGTAAGAATTACAGGGATCAAACTCTGATCCCCAGGGATGCCAAACAGGCATCTTTACACCAAGCCAACTCATCAGCTCTTGAAATGTATTTTAAAGCCAGGTGGTGGCGGCGCACACCTTTAATCCCAGCACTCAGGAGGCAGAAGCAGGTGGATCTCTATGAGTTCCAGGCCAGCCCAGTCTACAGAGTGAGCTCCAGGACAGCTTGGGCCACACAGAGAAACCCTGTCTCAAAAAAAAAAAAAAAGTTCTTTTAAAAATTAATCGATAATTTTTGTTTTTAATTCAGAGGAAAATGAGCTAATTAATGTTGCTTAACATTGTGTTTATTTTCATTTAATTTCTGAGAATAATTTTGTTAGTATAAAAATACAAAAGGAACAATAATTACATCAAGTACATAAAGTTAAAACTCGGACTTTTTAAACAACATATGACCCTAAAGTCCTGGAAGTACTGAGTATGTGCTCAAAGCCTTTGGAAAAATGCTTCAGTGACAGAAGACGAACAGAATAAAATCGGGGATCAGGCTTTGCGCACCATCAGTGGCCACATTTATGGTCTCTCTCCCATTTTTCACCCTTTTTCTTATTTTCCTTCCAATACTTAGAAGAGAAGCATTTCCTGCTATAATGGCTTCAACTAGAGTTAAACTTTTGTCAATTTTCCAAGCTCTAAATCTCAGCCACGCTGCTGGAAGAACTCTAGGCTAAGCTTTTTCTCTTCCTGGCTACCATAAAACCCTTGCGTCTTTTTCATCTGATCTGTGTTTCTAAGATCTGAAGATTGGGCATTTTGTCTCCGCTTTCCAAGAGCGGTGGACAGGCCTCGGTCCCTCAGGAACACTTGGACCTCATGAAAACTTTGGTTTTAATTGGTGATAGCCGAAGTCACCAAGCAAACTACCCCAGAGAGAACACTGTAACAGAGGCTGGTGGTTACTGGCTGTGAAGTTAACTTGTGATCTAAAGCAGGAGCTAATTTTATCAAATTAATATACAGTAGCTGGGACCGGAGAGGTGGCTCAGCAGTTGAGAGCATTGGCTGCCCTTCCAGAGGACCAGGGTTTGATTCCCAGCACCCACATGGCTTATAACATCTGTAATATCCGTTCCAGAGGATCCGTCAGTCAGTCTCTTACACATGCATGCAGGCAAAACACCAACACACATGAAATAAGCAAAATTCAAATATACATACAGAGTAACAGACACCTGTACGCCATAACATGGGAAGGGGAAGAGGAAGGTTAAATTCAAATATGCATACAGAGTAACAGACACCTGTACGCCATAACATGGGAAGGGGAAGAGGAAGGTTAAATTCAAATATGCATACAGAGTAACAGACACCTGTACGCCATAACATGGGAAGGGGAAGAGGAAGGTTAAATTCAAATATGCATACAGAGTAACAGACACCTGTACGCCATAACATGGGAAGGGGAAGAGGAAGGTTAAATTCAAATATGCATACAGAGTAACAGACACCTGTATGCCATAACATGGGAAGGGGAAGAGGAAGGTTAAAAAGCCAGTTCTCTATAGCACAGCCCACATACTCAAACAATGTCTGAGGATCACTTACACAGGGTGCTTTTGCAAGCCGCGCACCATTGGTAAACATACAAATGCCAAATTTAGTACATACTACAGGTAGCTAGGTCCTAACGCACACATTTTAAAAGAGGGACAGTAGCCGCAGACAACGTGGTTAGCTCCAGCAGACATCTGCGTTGCACACAGGCCATCAAAATCAGCACGGCATGCTTTTGTGACACCAAAAGAGGCTAAGCTTGTGGCAAAAATGATTACTTCCAACGAAAGCCTGCTTTAAATAGTGTTTAGTTACATGGCGCTCAGCCAAAAGAACACTATTTTGAAGCTGTTGTTGCCTTTGAATCACTCACCAACCTTCAACCCATTTGTAAAACAAGGTAAATACTATGGATTTACTAAAAGTAAGTACGGATCAGGAGTTGGGACTCACGTTTCTTTAACAAACTTAACTCTATTTGATCCCGAGTCTTGGCTGCTCTCCTGACAGAATAATCTACACAAGCCACAGCTGACAGGGGCATGGCTTTCATGATTAAGTGGGGAGCTCTTGCTGCAGACAACTCCAGAGTCCAAATGCACTTATTCTTTGCGCTTCAGAAGGTCTCTTTGCCGGCTTGGTATCAGGTCCTAACTTATCCTTCTGACTGTTCCCACTCTGACACCAGGCAATCCGCCTGTATCGCCAAGAACTGTTTTTGTTTTTATTTTGGCCTATTTTGTTCACAACAAAATCTTCTACCGTACTATGCAGTAAAGTTTTGTTTCCCCCAGTTTTCCTACCGTGTGTGGATGTGTGACTAAGTACATAAAGAAAAGTTAAAAATATAAAGCAAGCATTGTCCCTCCAAATACTGTTTTATTGCTCTTGGGAAAAACTGAAAGATGGAAATTTGATTGAATTTGCTTGTTATAATTGCTGGGGAACACTGTTCAAAACGATTTCCCAAAGGAAGGGGTTAAGTGTTTTAGCTTTAATTGGTCACTTTGGCCTTTCTTCTGAAAGAGGATTACACCATGAAATTCTAATTCTGTATGCCCAAATTGGCAACATCCACGAAGAGGCTTCTAGCCAGAAAGTTTTTCTGGTGGGCGTAAAGGTAATCAAAACAGACTGCCCCAAGGAAATACCCAGAACCTACCTCACGCGGACAACTTCTGAAATGACAAGACTAGGAGAGGCTATAGGGCATCATGGTAAACTCGATCCCCCAGACCCACAGGTTCCGGACACGCGGGGGTGTGAAGGGGGGCACGATATGCAGACGCCACAGCTGCCTTAACTAAAATGCCTCGGTGGTTTAGTACTGAAGGAAAAAGGCAAACAAAACACACCCACTGGATTCCTATCTGCTCAGAACTATTGGAAAGGCGAAACAAACGCGCAGGCGCATCCTCAGGTTGTCAGTTATTTAAAAAAAAAAAAAGTACTCATTAAAATTAAGGAAGTGGGTCGGGTGCAAGCTCGTAGGCTTTCTGTGGGTTTTCTAGTTTAGAAGCAGCAACACATTTTTGATGACTACAAACAGGGGCAAACCGATCACAGATTTGCTTTGTGAGATGTTTGCTTCAATGTGGAGATACACCAGCTCGCTAGCGGAAAGAAAATTGGGCAAACGTAGCATTCTCCAGCTACAAATCCGGGGAACACAATCACAACAACCAGATTAATGCTTCAGCGAGAGAGTGCGTTAGTTTACTTGCCCAAGAATACTATCAAGGAAAATGGAGGGGGGGGGGGGGGGGAAGGCTTCCACAAAGCCGAGAAGCATGCCTCCAGCACTCGGGTGGGGAGCAGCCTGCCCATTCAATTCTGCGTCTGTCTGGGAGCTGCGAGGGGCCTAAGAGCTGCTGGGGGAGCCAGGGAGTGGGCAGAGTCACCGGGGCTCTAATTGCTGTTGGAAGTTGGGGCGTCAAGGACCCTTCAAGACAGCAGTTACTTTTCTAAAGCATCTCCAAGTTAGCACAGCCCCACAGACCCCTCCTCTGTCTGAGGCCGGGACAGCTGCTCTGCTGTTGCACGGCGACCGGGCTGGACCGGTGACAGTCTTGAGACAAAGCCGCGGACCCCCACGTCGCGGACCCCCGCACCGCGCCCCGGCTGCACCTACCTTGATGCCCTGCTGCTGGGTGGTAAGGGTGAGCTTGGACTCGTCCAGGAGCAAAACTTCGCAATAGAATTCTTCCGGAACGGCGCAGAAACAGCCCATGTCGGCTGAAAGCGTCTCCAGTCAGGCGAGAGCAGCGACCGAGGTGCCCGCCGCCTCCTCCCCTCAAGCGCGAAGCATTAATTTATTGTACGCGCCGCGGAGAGGGCGAGAGGCGCGGGTCTGGGTGGGGCCCTGGGGAGCGAGGTCTGGGGTCCTGCAGTCGAGCCGAGGGCACCCCGAGAAGCTCGGAGAGCCGAGGCGGGAGGGTGAGCGCGCCCCAGAGCGTCAGGGACCCAGAGCCGCCCGGGAAGCGCCCGCCGAACTGGGCGCCGGGAGCAGCGTGTCCCCGCGCATCCTGCGGCTGCGGCTCCTCTTCTAAAAACTGGGGCGGCGACCTGGGAACGACAAGAGTCGCCTGGTTAGGGACGGACAGCCAGGGACACGAAAAGGGCGGGCCGGGCGCTCCAAACCCTCCCTGGGCTCAGACGCCCTTCGGTACTCGGCAGCGCCAGCCCCATACAAGCACGGAGCGATTCCCTTGCCGCAGCGCCCAAGTCCCCACCGGGAGCGCACCGGGCCCGCCCCACACCCCCGTGACAAGGTAGGCAGAGCGGAGAGCACTCAGCTTCTCTTTTGTGTCGGGGGTGGCCAAGACCCCCCAGCCTGGGACGCGTGGCCAGCGGCGAAGGTCGCCACTCCCTCTGCGGCTCTCTCTCACAGCCAGCCGGGGGCGCGGGGGGGGGGGGGCGGCCAGGGCTCCTCACCGAAACCAGCCAGGGGGGAGATCAGCTTGTTGCGGGCTGCGGCTTCCGTCTGAGGGTCCCCGAACTCATCCCGCCGAGATGGCCAAGTTCAAGCGCTCCTCTCCTGAACGCCCTGCTACGGGGACCGAATGCCGAACGTCTTGAAGAGACGAGCGCCGGAGAACCTGCGGGCGGGCGCGGCAGTACCCGGGCACCGAGGCCGCCGAGGCTCCAGGGAAAGTTCTTGGCCCCGCGGGGCGGAGCCCTGGGCGGGAGCGACCCAGGTGCAGAGAGCCCCCGGGCGTCCGCAAAAAGCCGCCGAGCTGAAGCAGGATCCCCGGAACTACGACCGGAGCGCCCCTTCTGGGCGGGGTCTCCGCTGGGGGCGGAGGGCGGGGCGGAGGTGGTCAGTCTGGCCCGGTGCCGGCAGGTCCCAGCCAGAACGCGTGCGCTGCGCGAGAGCCGCGCGGCCGTCTCCAGGTCGCTGCGTTCGTTTCCCTGGGAGACCTGGAGGGTGGCTTCGGGCCGCCAGGGCGCAGTTGTGTTCCGACCCCTGCGTGCTGCGATCCCAGTCCCACGCCCTCCGCGCGGCGGGCCGGGGCCAGGCACTGGTGGGCACAATAGCTCTGAGGCTGCAGTGACCCCTGGTGGGTTCCGGTGTCCGTGCACAGGCAACACCGGCTGAGTGTGGAAGACACAGGACCCCCGCTGGCCCTGGGAGCAGGTGCAATCTGAGCTCTCTAGCTGGGAAGCTGCAGCGAATTAATGCAAAAGCAGTCGGTGGAGGCTGAGGCTGGGGTGGGGGGCGCACCGCGGGAGGTGACTCGCTGAACTCTGTTCTGTATTGACTACTAGAAAGAGAAAGAACTTGGCATGGGGTAGAAATTCCCTCTTCTACCACTTGTTAGCTTGGATAGTTTTTTTTTTTTTAAAACAAAAACCTATTTTAGTAATAAAAAAAAAACTTTGTGTCCGCAGCAGCATAGTAAAAATAGTTTTACACCAGTTGGACACAGTTGTCAACACAGTGACTTCCCACGAAAGACTGAAACCTCACTTTTCCCTGCCCAACTTCCAGATAAACGAGATAAAACCCTCATTTATCTTTCAACGTTTCTGGAAATTGAAGCAGGTTTTGCGATTCTGTCAAATTCTGTGCGCACCTTTAGGTTCTACTTCAGAAGTTGTATTCAACCTAAACTTCTGGATTTTAGCATCTCACTATGGAGGCTTTTCTGCAATCGAGCTTTCCTGTCATTTATCGCCAAATGTGGTCGTAAGATATCTTAATGGTTTTCTTTCTTTACCACAATATGCAGCAGAACTATATAAGCCTGCAAAGTCCAAAATAAAATAAAAGTCCTGAATCTAGCTTTCTGTGAGTTTGAAGCCACCTACCGGTTCATGGGACTTTGGTTTGAGGTTTTTGTCTGTTGCCACTGATGGAAAGGCTGGGTTGGGGGTGGAGCAGTAATTCTGTTGCAAAGCCTTGACATTCCATACAGACAACAGCCTCTACTAAGTGAGACATTTTCTTTTCCATCTCTTCATCGCAGATTAGAGATAAGAAAATTAAAAACCTGCTTTTAATACAAAACTGAAGCTTCCTAGAGATAAGAAAATTCCACACATTTTTAGCAGCATTACCGAGTATAACTGACACACCACGGCTACATATATTAAAACCTTACAGCTTACACTTGACATATACACCCATACAACCATCACCGTAATCAGGCTGATAAATCCATCCATCCATCATCTCTAGTTTACTGCAGCCTGCTTGCATTCCCTCCCTCAAATACCTCGCCACACCTCCCCTCCCAGGTACCCACAGATCTGCTTTCTGTCACTAGAGATTATCTACACTTTCTCAGGTTTACATCGTGGATTCACACAATGTCAAATCTTTGCGGGGGGGGGGGTCTAGTTTGCTTCACTAAGTACATGTATTCTGAGATTTATCCATGTTGCATAAATAGTTCATTCAAGTTTATTGCTCAGTTGCATAAAATTAGATACACACACACACATAGTCTGCGTGTCTATGTATCTTCTTTTATTTTCATTTATTTGGGTATTTCAGATTTTGAGCATTACTGATAAAATAACTCAGCTGATCATCTTTGTCTTGTCAACTCTGACAGCCTTAACAGAGCATCATAGATTAAGTCACTTACACAATAGACATTGTCCCTGGAAGTCCAAGTTCATTGTGCCAGCAATGTCCACTTCTAGTAAGGCCCCCTCTTGACTCTAGGTGGCCTCCCATCTTGCAGTGCGCTCTCTTTGTGTGTACACACAGTACACATACGTGTGTTCGTGGAAGCAAGCACTTTGGGATTTACTCTAAGGACACAAATCCTTGAGTGTTTTACAATCTCATTTAACCTTAATTGTTTTCTGGTAGACCCAATTTCTAAATACAGTCATTGGTTCAGTACGGTCAGTACTTCACACAAAAAGGTTAAGAAACACAATTTAGCCCAGGATAAGAATACATATCTTTATGTGGGCCAGTGCTATATAGAATGATGAATAAGGAGATAGACAAGTGGCAGATAAGCCCACAGAAAGAAGTTCCAGTCCATTGTCATTGGAGACGGCAACTCAAGGATGCCACTCACACCTAGGGGAAGTTCCCATACAGAACTGCCTCTCGGAATCGTAGTGAAGGTGTGGGGTGTTTTGTAGTCTCACTACTGTTGTGCACAAAAGACACAAATCACATTGGGTAACAGTTTGACAGGTCCTTAAAACTTGAAAAAAATTAACAAGGTACAATGTAAGCTTTTTATCAGGAAAAAATAGTTTTTCAGTGTGTGCACAGTCTAGTGATCCTATTTAAAGCTTCCTAACCAAATCTTTGAGGATTCTTTTCAGAAAAATTTTAAGTAAAATATTGTCTTTGGTTCAGATCCTATTTTATCACAATAAACCTGATACTGATAGGTCAAATGGCACACAAATTCAGAGTAAATCCAGTTCTGCAGGAATCCCTGAGAATCCTCATCCTGAAAGAAAATACTTCACTCTACAAAGACATCCTCCATCCTAGCTGAAAATGTGCACTTCAAAATGCCGGGCGCAGAGTTACTTATTAGGTGGTGTGTGTGTGTGTGTGTGTGTGTGTGTGAGAGAGAGAGAGAGAGAGAGAGAGAGAGAGAGAGAGAGAGAGAGAGAGAGAGAGAGAGAGAGCAGAAGAGAGCGTTGAATCCCCTGGAGCTAGAGAGTTACCATCAGCTGAGAGCAGCCCGATGTGGGTGCTGAGAGCTAACTCTGGTCCTCTATCAAAGCAGAAAGGGCTCTTAATAGCTGAGCCATCTCTCCAGCCCCCAGAATTCTTTTTAAAGCACTATATTCTCAGTAGAGAGATGTGTTTAAGTGACCCAAATCATTTTATGTTTTCCAAACTTCTGAAACTTGATAATTTAAAAAAGGGGGGAAAAAAACTTTTGAAAGCACTAATGATAAACACATAAATTTCATTACTTAAACGCAAGTGGGTAATATGGCAGAATCACCATGAAGATAGGTAGCCCACAGATTCCTAGCCTGGACCCCAGAGTTCTTAAGTAGGTCTGGAGCCCACATTCAGAATTTCCATTTCCAGCAAAGTCTAGCAGTGAAACATAGACATTTTGCAAACCACTAGAGGTTATCGTTCCCCCCCCCCAAATAGTAGAAGTTGTTGCTAATTACCTACAAATGATTGGGAGGGTGATTCATCCTTCACTGGTAGCCTCTCTGTTAATCGACCCCATGCATCAAGTCAGTGCCTGTCAAGGAAGATTACTGAAGACCCTGTCAAGTTGGTCCCAGCAGAAGGAATGGCTTTTAAGGAAAGGAAGTATCCTTGCTTGGGTTTTGTAATGTTGTTGCCTAGGCTGCTTGGATAACATACTCATTTTTCTTTGTAATATAGAAAGTGCCCGGGTACATTCGCTCTTCAAGGCTGTCCTGCCTCTGACTCAGTCATGGCTGTGTCACTAAACAGTTGTCCTCCCTCCCAAGGACTGAAGTACAGGATGGCACTTACTGAAAACGCCTCCAGGCTGTGACCCATGTTGCAAGAAAACTCACTCCCCAAGTCTGCCCTACCGTGAAAGCTGTTTCTTCCTCTGTATGCTCTCCAAATAGAGGCTCTCTGATATTACTGAGAGTTCTTAGGCAATTTTAAAACTAAGTCTATGTTGTTGAATGCACCAATATGGCTTCTACTTAGTATAAATGGTTAAGGAGCTTGACTTTGAAATACCCTAACCTTTTAGGATCTTGGGAATTTTGGTTGTTATTTGTTTGTTTTCAGTTTTCTAAACAGCAGATTCTTTTTTTTAATTTTATTGATTTTTATTGAGCTCTACATTTTTCTCTGCTCCCCTCTCTGTCTTTCCCCTTCCATTCAACCCTCTCCCAAGGTTTCTATGCTCCCAATTTACTCAGGAGAAATTGTCTTTTTCTACTTCCCATGTAGATTAGATCTATGTAAGTCTCTCTTAGGGTCCCCATTGTTGTCTATGTTCTCTGGGATTGTGATTTGTGGGCTGGTTTTCTTTGCTTTATGTTTAAAAACCACTTATGAGTGAGTACATGTGATAATCGTCTTTCTGGGCCTGGGTTACATCACTCAAAATGATTTTTTCTAGCTCCATCCATTTGCCTGCAAAATTCAAGATGCCATTTTTTCTGCTGTGTAGTACTCCATTGTGTAAATTACCACATTTTCCTTATTCATTCTTTGGTCGAAGAGCATTTAAGTTGTTTCCAGGTTCTGGCTATGACAAACATTGCTGCTTTGAACATGGTTGAGCACATGTCCTTGTGGCACAATTGAGCATCCTTTAGATATATACCCAAAAGTGGAATTATTGGGTCTTGAGGAAGGTTGTTTCCTAATTTTCTGAGAAATCGCCACACTGACATCCAAAGGGGTTGTACCAGCTTGCACTCCCACCAGCAATGCAGAAGTGTTCCCTTTTCCCCACCACCTCTCCAGCATAAGTTGTCATCAATGTTTTTGATCTTGGCCATTCTTACAGGTGTAAGATGGAATCTCAGAGTTGTTTTGATTTGCGTTTCTCTGATGACTAAGGATGTTGAGCATTTCCTTAAGTGTCTTTCAGCCATTTTAGATTTCCCTGTTGAGAGTTCTCTGTTTAGTCTGTACTCCATTTTTTATTTTATTATTTGTTCTTTTGATGACCACTTTCTTGAGTTCTTTGTATATTTTTTAGATCAAACCTCTGTCTGATGTGGGTTAGTGAAGATCTTTTCCCATTCTGTAGGCTGTCATTTTGTCTTATTGACCATGTCCTTTGCTTTACAGAAACTTT